ATATATATATATATATATATATATATATATATATATATATATATATATATATATATATATATATATATATATATATATATATATATATTTTAAATATAGAATTAATTGTTTGTTTATTTTTTCTCTCTATAAATATGAATTGTTTTATATGCTTTCTTCTTCATCTCTTACTCTGAAAGAAAATGGCGGCGCCCAATAATTTTCTGCTCATAATTTTCAATTGTGTTCTTATCCTCCAAAACGCGCCGTTTTTGGCAGTGGCTTTACCTCTACCGGAGGCCATCTCGGCGAAGCTTAGAAATGATTCCGAGACGATTAAATTGGCTTCCACGGATTATGGCCGGATTATTGAAGAGAAACCTTACGGCGTTTTCTTTCCGGGGAACGGCAGCGACATCGCCGGGCTGATACAGTTCATGTATGGAAGTCCGACGCCGATGGATATCGCTGCCCGCGGTCATGGGCATTCCGTCCAGGGGCAGTCCTTGGTGGAGAACGGAATTGTGGTGAATATGACCTCGCTCGGCGGTTTGGACGGCAGAATTGTGGTGTCGACTACGACGGCGTTGGGTCCGTATGCTGACGTGGGCGGCGAGCAGCTGTGGATCGATGTGTTGCATGCGACGATGGCGAAGGGGCTTAGCCCGTTGTCGTTGACGGATTATTTGCGTCTGACCGTCGGAGGGACGCTGTCCAACGCCGGAGTTGGTGGTCAGACGTTTCGGTTTGGGCCTCAGATCAGCAATGTTCTTGAACTTGACGTAGTAACTGGTATCTCTTTCTCTCAATTTTATTTATTTTTTTTAAAAAATAAAATCATGAGGTTCAAACATAAAAGTTATCAATATTTATAATTGAATTTTTTTTAATTGACACTTTTAATAAGGAAATCTCGGTTTCGATCGAACCTAACTAAACAAAGTCTAATGGGTCCTTGTAAGGGTGGGGATACTTCTTTCTAGTAGACTCATGAGCTTAAACTATTGTTATAAATGGTGTCAGAGCCAGACGTGTTAGACGAACACGACTCTCCACAAATGGTATTCTTTATTTATAAACCTATGATCATTCCCTAAATTAACAGATGTGAAATTTTCATCATCCAACAGTGAGATCCCATGTTGGTTGGAGAGGTTAACGAAACGTTGCTCATAAGAGTGTGGATACCTCTCTCTCCCTAATAGACACGTTTTAAAATTTTGATACGAAGCCTTTGAAGGAAAAATCCAATAAATATAATATTTGTTTAAAATATGTTTTTTTTTTCCTTAAAAAATATTAAATAAATTTTTAGTGAAATTTCGAAAACAAAAATGTTGACTTGATTTGGTTTTTAAAAATATTGTAAGAAATTAATAATAAAATAAAGAAATTCATAGGTAAAAGTATGGTTGACTAATAATCTTTCTTACCATACTATTACCGAGCCTTAATTACCTTATAAAACTTTTTACCATACCATTATCAAACCATAATTACCATATAAATTTTCTTACCATGCCGTTACCAAGCCTTAATTACCTTATAAGCCTTCTTACCATGCCATGCATGGAAAGAGTAATGATTTTCGATTTGAATTATTTTAATTTTAGAAAAATAAGTTTGAATTATTTTAATTTTAGAGAATAAAAACACAGTCTTTTATTATCATAATTATTTGGAAATTATGCATTAATTAGACAATTAATGCAATAGGAAAAATGTGTTCTTATATTTTTTAATTAAAAAAAAAATGGCCTTTTTTTATTCAAACCCCTTATGAGATTTAGAGGTTCGAATCTCTGAATTTTAAAAGGAAAGTATATCTTAAACTATAGTTAATAGTTTCTTTTGTTTGAACGATAGGAAAAGGAGAGTTGTTGACGTGCTCTCCTACCAACAATCCCGAGCTCTTTTACGGCGCCCTCGGTGGTTTGGGTCAGTTTGGTGTGATTACTCGAGCTAGAATCCCCCTTGGCCCGGCGCCCACGAGGGTCACTCTCTCTCTCTCTCGACCTTTTTTTTATATTTTTTTTTAAATGTGGATTAAGGTTAATAAGATTGTATTTTCTTTCTTAAAGGCTAAATGGGTTCGTATGCTTTACACCAACTTCTCTGCATTTACAAGTGATCAAGAACTTTTGATATCCAACAATGGAAAAGAGAAATCCAACGGCCTTAATTACCTTGAAGGTTTGCTTTTGCTAGAATTAAAAGCACCTGATAATTCCTCCTTCTACCCTCTACCCGACCAGCCCAAGATATCCTCCCTTATCTCTCAACACGGCATCGTTTACGTCCTTGAAGTCGTCAAGTACTATGATCAACAATCAGCTGGTTCTGTTGACCAGGTTTGACTCGAGCCGTCATAATTTGACATTTTGTAATATAAAATTGTCAGTCACATTATTTTAATTTTTTTAATAACATATTTATGTATAGGACCTCGAGAAATTGTTGACGGGGTTGAGATTTGAGGCGGGGTTAAAGTTCATTAAAGATGTTTCGTACGAAGAGTTTCTAGATCGAGTTCACACCGATGAACTAGCGTTAAGATCTCTCGGGTTATGGGACGTTCCTCATCCGTGGCTAAATCTTTTCATTCCAAAGTCGAAACTTTTCGAATTTGAATGGGGTGTTTATAGAAGCATTATTCAAAAGCGTAAACTCACTACAGGCGTACTCCTCTTCTACCCGATCTTCAAAAACAAGTAAGTTTAATCAATTCATTCATATTCTTAACAAAACGTTACGATAAAAGCTAGACAAAGCACGATTGTTTTACAGATGGGATGAGAAGACTTCCGCCGTGATACCCGACGAGGACGTGTTCTACATGGCCGGGTTTCTTTTCTCGAGCGGATTCAATAATTGGCAAACGTTTGAGGAACATAATAGAGACATATTGAAGTTCTGTGCTGAAGCTGGAATTGGAGCTAAGCTGTATCTTCCACATTTTGAAAGTCAAAAGGAATGGATTGACCATTTTGGTCGGAAATGGCCTGTTTTCCAGCAGAGGAAGGCCTTGTTTGACCCTAAACACTTGCTCTCTCCGGGACAGAAAATTTTCTAGTTATTTTAATTTCTACTTAAAATAAATTAAATGTATTACATTTAATAATAATAATAATAAATTATAAAACTTTTTTTTTTTTTTTTAATGAGCTTATTTCTATAATAAGGTCAACTTTGAACATGGGCTTTTAGTTAGTGGGCCGGGCCCAAACTACTGCAAACGTAGCCCATGATTTTTTTTTTTAATTTTAAAATAATTTTAATCAATAATGAATTTGAGGAGAAAATTTCAAAATGTATGAGGAGAGAATTACAAAAATATCCTTGGAATATAAATATTAAAATATACGGTAACGAAGATCGTTGATCAAAATCAAGAACGTGCAATAATGTGAAAGCATCAGAAGAATTGGAAATTTCTCAAGTTTGTCGTGAAAAGACGATACAAGTGAATCATAATCTAAAGAATAAGTCAAATATTCCTCCTTATCTATTAGCTCAAAAAAGCAATACTTGGAATCTACACAAAGACCTATTTACTGACCGGTTTAGGTAAATTTCTAATGTGATGAGAGACGTCGTTTTTTGAAGGAATAAGACGAAGAAAAGTCGGATGAATGACTTTGTTTTTAAGGGAACATAGACTTTCATGAAGCTGATCGACCCACGTACTTCCTCGAGATATCTTCATCACATGAATTGACAGTTTCTTGAGTACGAGAATTAATCTGACGTGCATTGAAAAAAAAGTCTGACTCGTCATGAGGTAAAAAAACATTTAGACAAACGGATTATTTTTATTTATAATAATTTGCATTTAAAGATTGAAGGCATATGAATAATAATATTACTAATTAATTGAAACAAATATTATATTTGATTCCAAAAGGTTGATTTTGCAAACCTTAATGGATTTTTATGAGAATCATAGAGATTTTAGGGTATCAATAATTAAGATTTTTTGCCGGCTTTATTCCTTAACCTTTTTTACTGTCATCCACACAATCATCTATAATCATCATTAACATCCTAAATATATTTTAATATATTTTTCTTTAATCCATTTATTATTTTACTAAATTAATTAAATATATACACGTAGATTCTTGCACACGTTCACGTCTAGAGAATATGATGATTGCATCTCAGTTGTGATCCAGCTATGTCAATTATTTTATGATAAGCCAACTCGAACAGAATCAATTTGGTTCAATTCCTCGCACTCTTATTGTATGATAAACGTGTGATTGGGAAGAGATAAACATTATTATATGTAAATGCAGAACATGTCGTATTCCAATGCATTTCTCCTTTTGAGTTAGAATAAATATGTTTTCGAATCTTTTCTTTCAAATTAAGAGTATACGTTTCTGTATGAATCTCAACACGCAAATTTCCTGTGGGTTAGATTTTGATTGTTATGAGCGGAGAGAATGACCCCTTAGCCTCTAATTTCCATTTGAACAGAGGATATAGTAACTTTTATGGGGTTTAATTCTAATCGGAGACGATATACGATGATGTTACTAATTAGTTCATAGCATTTGTGTCAAAATTTGATCAGTCATTCCATTTTTTTTCTCGCAAGAATCAACATTTAATCACTTAATCAGTCTCTTGATTCGATTAACAGTTACTATAAATCTAAACTCGTAATTGACAAACAATGTGTTATATTAAACACGATCTAATTTAAAACATTTCGACTTCACTTACATTAAAAAGATGACAAGAAATTAAAAGCATGGCGAGAATTTGGGAGGTAGGTAGGGCAGTACTTGAGTTTGCAGCCAGCCCTGCTTTATGCTACTAATGTTGTGATATCATCACCATCCATCAACATCAAGACAAACAAGGAGGGACCCATCAACCAAACCCTAATTTTGTTTAATCCTCCAACTTCAATTAGGTTTATAATTCAACTAAACTTGTCGTGTATGTCGAGCTGAGTTCATCGATTTTTCCATATAGTTAGGCAACAATTTTTTTTTTTTTTTTTTTTTTTTTTTTTTTTTTTTTTTTTTTTTTTTTTTT